AACTCTTCATTAAAATGTCAAATGTCAGAATTATTAATTCAGAAAATAGTTAAATCAGTAGATAGAGAAATTAACCTCAACTCTGTGTAGTCTGATTTTATTGCAATAGAGGCTAACAGATTACATTATTTTAAATTCACGAGAAAAGTCAACAGCAGCCTGTTTTTGGCTTTCATGCAGAGAGGTTCATGTGTCCTGTAGTTTTATCTTAATAGTTAATGATTTCCAATAATTCCTAAAGAGATGTTCATGGTGTGTCCCCGATCTGTCAAAAGTAGTTCGGAGGCCTGACTCACATCTGCTTGTGTTTCTCTTTCACTTTCAGGGTGTGGGAGGAGCCCTGAGCCGGTATGTTTACTTTCTGCATCAGAGAAGGGGTTGGGAGAGGCCGAGGTGGTTGTCGAGATAACCCTCCTAAGAGCTTTCTGTTCTGTGCCCTTCTCAGAAGTAAGAGTGTCCCACGGCTGGAACCGGAGCCCATCCCCGTGGGGCTGAAGACAATGTGCTGCATCCCTGGGATGAGGGAGATGCTGAGGAAGTTCCAAGGTAAGCTGCATTTTAGACCCTGAGGACCTACGGTGCCTGGGGTGTGGCTGTTAACAGCGGTTTATTCCTGTACCAGTCACGCTGCAGTAACAAACAGCACCCAGTGGTTAGAGGCGAAAATCAGCAGTTTTATTTTGAGATCATGTTACTGGTTTATTACTTGATTCTGGACGCGTTTGTTTCACACCATCTCACCTTGGGAACCCGTGCAGACAGAGCCCCACCTCCTTGCCATTGCTGACAGTCATGGGAAGGGGCAAGGTTATGGTGAATCAGGCTCCGCCCCTAAAGCATCCCTTGCTGAAGTGGCCTCAGGGCTTCCCTGAAGGTTTTATTGATGGTCATGCCACACTATGAAAGGGGGGAAGGGAGAGGGCACCAGGCTCAGAAAAAGAGTATTGGGATATTTGATATTTGGTGACTAGTCCTAAAGACTGTCAGAGTCACGGGCATCCACATAAGCTACATTTGGTTAGAACCGTAGGGTTTAAAAGTGACCTTAACTGTGATAGAAGTAACATTCGTTCCAGCCAATCTCCATTTCCTTGCAAAATGCTGTACTGTTTGGAGGACTAAATGAAACATGTTTGAAAGCAGAAAAAAAGCCATCAGTATATGAAACCACTATGGTGCATCAAATAATACAAGGTATGGGCTATTTTTATTATTTGGCAATTTGATAAATTGCTTA